GAGGGCAACTAGTTGTCTTCATGCTCTTACTGAGGTCTGTTGCTTTATGTGATTACATTGCTTTCTTGGACTTGTATACATTATGCTTTTGCATTGATGTTAAGTTGCCTAGCAGGTCCTTTGGGATGGAAAGGTGAGAGGTGAAAAATGTTAAGTAAAATGGATAAACTAAATGAGTGTTATTCATACACAACTCTCACTGTACCTCCTTGCAGTGTTCATAAGCAACCCCTCGCTGACTTGGGTTTGTCAGCCAGAAGGCAACAGCATGGGGGACAGGGATCTTACTCTGAATTTCTCCCAAACTGCATGCGGGGGTGTCTGAGACCCACTTCACCTTGGCTTTAACCTCTGTCAATGTTTCCTGTGATCTCCCAGTGCCATAAGGCATTAAAACAAGTCCCAGCATGTTGAAGAAATGTAGCAGCACACTTCTTACGAGTGTTTTGGTACATGTTAATTATGAAATCCTGCAGCAGATTTTATTCTCTGCCAACAGCTCTGCTTTTTCATTTTAAAACGTCATTCTTGTCTGCAGAGATCAGTGTCTGCCTTCCTTTTTTCTTTCAGGCCTCGGAATTGACTGTCAAAGAGAGATATAATACATGCTATGCTCTGATCAGAGGCACCTTCTTTGTGTGTTTCTTTAAAATAACTTTATTTCCTTTATATTACAAGGAAAGCAATTCTGAGTAAATATTTGAATATTCTTAGGGAAGGAGTAGCCTTGCTGTATTCATCCTGCATCAAAATAGTAAATTATGTGACTTAAAGTCCCCTGACCAACATGCGGAGGAAAAGGAACTGCAGTTTATGCTGGGCAAACAAGGAGTGTGCAGTCTAGTGGAGACCAAAGCAACTTACCAAGCCAGTTTCAAGGAGGCAAATGGTATGCTCCACTGAAGAGAGTGTGAAATATCCACTAGAAATCATACATTTATTTGCAGCCATGAAGCGTGCCTTCATATCTTGAAAAGTCGTACATTTATGGTCACACAAGAAAGCATCGTTCTTAAAATGCTAACATTTGCAGCATTTCATGAAAGTTTGGCACATGTCAATGAAGTTTGGAGGACCAGTGCTCTAGCAGTATGAATGTCATGGACTAGGGATGGGGAATGTGTGGCTGCAACTCCCGTATGTCCCAGCCTGCATGGTCAATAGTTAAGGATGACAGGAGGGCCCAGGTTCCCCATGCCTGGTGTGGACTATGCTAAGCTAGATGGACCAATGGGTAAGGAAGCTTTATGTGTAATGCTGGTTGGAAATCTCTAATATCGGCACATGTTCGGCTGATACCAACAAACTGCATACACTGTGAGCAAACTGATAAAACTAAACAGAGGAAATTCAGTGAGCACCAAGTTAAGTCATGGCCAAGATCCACTTCTACATGGGCCATGTTCATCTGTGAAGAGCTGGAGAATAAAGTGAGGAGTTGTCTGTGTGAAATAGACATTAATTGCCAGAAAGAGTGAGAGAACAAGAGATCACTTTCATATTGTCACCCACCATCAGTGGACCATGTTTGTACATACAGTTCGTTCAAGTCATTGGCTACTGGCTAATTAAGTAATCTGAGCTCAAACATGCATGCATGGACTTCTGTGCAAAATCAGCAGGTTTTAAGGTTTTAACTAATGTACTTAGGTTTTGTTGATTTTAATAGGGCTTAAAACTCAGCCCTATGCATGTTTACTCAGAAATAAGAACCAGCGAGTTCAGGAGGACTTAGCCTTCCAGTATTTAGGGTTGCCACCTTCGTTCTGCTTTGTTTGTTTTGCCGGATTGCATGTAATATGTAAAGCTGGAGCTCAGATTTCAAGTTGCTTTTATTTCCTTGACACGAGAAGGGGGGAGGGAATTGAATCCTCCTGTTTTATAAATACAACAGCAAGTTCTCAACGTTTGCCAGAAGGGAGCATATTATCCTTGTTCTCTTAGATGTAACTTTGGATGGAGAATTTACTGTAAGTGAACCCAAGCTCTGGGAGATGATAGGAAGCCGGTCAGGAAAGTTTCACTGTTTTTCCTTCCTGACTTGGCATATTTTAATACTGGTCCAAAAAGAGTGATGTCTTGATCTCACTGGTGATTAATAGAAAGACTCTGAATGAACCTGATCAACCACCTTCCTCTGTCAAAGCCCAGCTGTGGCATTCTTGTTGTTTAGATCCCTACAGATGTAGGCTTATTGAAAGTCTCCTTACTTTTTACACTCCCCACACACTTAATGGTGGTGTAGTTTCCTGTGATTGAAGCCACATTTTTATATGTGTCAAAATCAGTTCAGCAGTTAGAAAGAAAATCATAATATAGATTGGATCATATTTCCTAAGTGGATGTCACCAGCTAATTCCTTTGTTATACCGTTTAGCTACACAGGATTAAGAGTGTGTTTACCATTAAGCGGTTACATATGGGTCTTATTAGTTCGCACACTCTGGCATGACTTTTGACAAATATCTTGTCAAACAGGTTAACGTTTCAAAATGACTCTCAACCACTGAACTTCAAGGACCCTTAAAAAAACCAAAAACCTAACCCTTTGTCATTGAGGAGTGCTGAGGAATACTGTACTATTTTAGATTTGAAAGGTTTTAGCTTTTTTTAATAAAAAAAATCCTCTAGAGGTTTCTATGCTTTCTTTAATGGCGGTGAGGATGGGGGTGCAAAAGAGGGTGTGCAACAGAGAAAGATTAAGACTTAATTGATGAAAAGAATCCAGCATTATCTTGTTCTGTCTTCCTTCTCTAGAAAGCCTAGTTCAGTCTCTCGCTCTCTTTTCCTCCATCCTTCTTCGCCTCCTTCATCTGGAGGGGACTCTTTTCCCCCCCTTTTTAGCATTTTAATTAGAGAAAAGCTTTCAAGAGCCTCTGTGCGTAGTTCTTTGATTTTGGCTCTATATGCTGCCTTGTGGTGTTTCTCTAGCCTGCTTGGGTGCCTGTTTTTGGACACATTATGCAAGTGCCTTGGTCCAAATTACATGTTGGGAACGGCGCAGCATGTTTCTTTATCCATCTCCACTCCACTTCCTACTGCTTATTTTTATTTAGTGTCAGGATGGGACAGCTGTATACAGAATCGAAGCCATGTGGTCTTGGGTGGAGGAGGCATGGCAGTGGCTGCCAAACGTGTGGTGAGAATGGGACAGGGGAGCTAGATGGCAGCAGAGATGTAAGAAATGTGGGTCAGGAATGACTATATAAGAAAGTTTCAATACTCTGCTGGGAAACTGAGGATGAACAGGAGTCATATTATGTAATTCCCACCCCTACCCCAGTATTTTGGAACTCCTTCCTGGAAAACTTATGTGTATTGAGTTACTATATTAAAAGGTGAGCCCGTGTACTAGTTTTTGTACCAAAAGCACAAACCTTTTTGCTATAAGCTACCCTAGCTTTTGACACCTGAAATGTATGAGATGTAGCTATGCTAAGCAATTGGTGTCTTCTTCATACAACAGGACATCCCCTTCCTTTCCTCTTCACACCCAGCCTACACCATGTCAGCTCCAGAGGGTTCTCTAGACCTTTGAGGGAGATCTTGGATATTGAGCAGTGAGGTGGTATTGGATGAAGCCCACCCTACTCTTCTGATTGTCCGTTGTTTTAACTGATTTTACTACAGTGGTACCTCGGGTTACATATGCTTCAGGTTACAGATGCTTCAGGTTACAGACTCCGCTAACCCAGAAATAGTACCTCAGGTTAAGAACTTTGCTTCAGGATGAGAACAGAAATCGCACGGCGGCAGTGCAGCAGCAGCAAGAGGCCCCATTAGCTAAAGTGGTGCTTCAGGTTAAGAACAGTTTCTGGAACGAATTAAGTACGTAACCAGAGGTACCACTGTACTGTGTTTTTATTTTGTTTTAGCCCATCCTGGGACCTCATGGTGAAAGGTAGGTATGAAAACCAATAAATAATAATAGTAGTAGTAATTATCTGTCCGACTTGTGTTGACAACAGCATTGCTATATTTATTTAAAGGAATAGGATGATGATTGGTATGCATGGCCAAGGATTCTGTTCCTCTCCAATCTCCACCCCCCGTGATTCTACTTGTAAGATTGGCATTTGATCAGGAGTGCATTACTGGAACCAGTTCGGATACTGGAGATAATTTTAATGGCTCTGTCAGGTGGCAAAGTACCCACTCTTCATTAAGGAGATGCCTCTCAATATATAGTCTCTCCAAGAAGGAGAAAACCGTTTGGTAATCTGGGCTGAGATTCTCCCCATCCTTCCTCTCTACTGTAGAATGTGGTAGGAGCAATAGTACTATTGTCCTTTTATGTTGGATGGAGCTACTTTGCATCAGTTTCAGGGACAAAGATTGGGTAGAGGTAACAGAGAATAGAACCAGCTTGGAGAGAGCACAGTTAGAATTGGAAGCCAAAACACTGGTGACAGTCAAGAAGACAAACAAGAGTTTTGGTGAAACAGGGTAGGACGGAGGTGACGGGACAAAGTGAGTTAGAACAAAGGGAGAGACAGAACAAGAAGAAAGAATAAATCCAAGGAGAACTGGAACTCCTGTGCAGAGAAGCAGGAGTCCAAGGTGGGAAGGTTCAACATAGCAACCAAGCTGGAGAGTGCTGCTCTGTTAACCAGGCAAGGGTCAAAGCCTATGTTATAAGATACATCTTTATACGTGGATTAGCAATCCACAGAAGCCTCATATACACCAATCTGTGATGCCAGGAGTGAGAGTCTGTGGTGGACCCAGAGAGATATCTGGCTCCTAAATGTGTAGTCCCAGAGGTCTCCCCATGCCAGCTATGCCATTCCTTGGCTGGTTCTTATTACAAGTAATACCCCACCCCCTGCACTGCTCCCAATGGAGCAATCTTTGCTTTGCAGGGTTTTCCCCCCCTGGGTATGAGAAATGTTAATCAAATGTTGATCAAATGAAAAAAGCAGGAAAGGAAAGAAAGTGGAGAATGGAAGGATGAATATTGAGTTTGATTGCCGAACCTGAGCAATGAATCTCTGGAGCCCTTATTAAGCGTGCCATTTAATAAAGGAGAAAGGCAATAAAAATAAAAACTTCCTCTTTTCCAGTCTGTAAACATTTCCTGGAAAAACTACTCTGTGGTTTTGAGAAGGATTCCAGAATCTTGCAATCCCTGTTCTCTTCATTTCACCATGACTCACTGGATCGTAGGAAAGTCCCCTCTTGTTTCCAAGAAGAATTGTCACTAAATCAAGCAGGGATTTAATGGAAGCCGTACCTTTTCCTTGGTTAGATGATCCTCTTGGAATCATAGCTGGATTTGGGCTGCTGAAGATTTTATAGGAAAAAATAAATTGTTTCTTGGCTGAAGTGAGGGACAAAGTTCATTGGCATTAATGCAGAAATTGAAACCGTTTATATTACTTACTCCACCAAAAACATGTAAACCTGTCTCCCCACCCCCACCCCAAATGATCATTAATATATTACTTATTAGGTTTTAACTTCATGACATAGCAAACTTAGAAAACTTATCCAAATAGCATGCAGGAAATCATTTACAAGATGAACCTGACACTATTTTAAACAGTTTGTTCCAGTAGCGTATTATGAAACCACATCCTATCCCATTTATTGCTATTACAGCTACATAATAAAGTATTGTGGTTATGCAATTAGCAGGGATTGCACACAGATGAAACATTTCTCAGCCAGCCACATCCCCAGCACATTGTGCTGTTATTGACTTGGGAACCGTACACTATGCAAATCCCTGTGCTGTTTATGCATGTGGGCTCTGCTTTTTCTCATCACTCTCTGCAAAGATAGCTATAACAAGCCTGCACTATTCCCTCATGAGGAAAGGCAGTAGCACCATTTGCTCATGTTGCCAACTCATGCAGCCATGTAGAAAAAGCTTCAAAGAACCATAGAACCATAGAATTTCAGAGTTGGAAAGAACCCTGAGGATTTTCTAGGATGAGCTAATCCGCAGGGTCCCTTCCAACTTTGAAAGCAGCTGTCCCACATGGGGATTGAACCTGCAACCTTGGCATTATCAGCACCATGCTTTAACCAGTTGAGCTATCCAGGCAGGTCTGGGTCTGGTCAATGCTTGGATGGGAAGCTACTTGGGGATGTTACCTATAGTTCTTTTGGCTCAATGGAAGCAAAGCAGGAGATAGATAAATAAAAAGCAAGGACAAAAACCTTTGACTTCCCATGTAGTGCAGTGGTACCTCGGGTTAAGAACTTAATTCGTTCTGGAGGTCTGTTCTTAACCTGAAACAGTTCTTAACCTGAAGCACCACTTTAACTAATGGGGCCTCCTGCTGCCGCCATGCCGTCGGAGCACGATTTCTGTTCTCATCCTGAAGCAAAGTTCTTAACCTGAGGTAATATTTCTGGGTTAGCGGAGTCTGTAACCTGAAGCGTATGTAACCTGAAGTGTACCACTGTATTTGCGTTTGATAGGATGGTTTCAACAACTGGTATGTACAGAATCTGGAATGAATTGCAGCAGAGTGTGTCAATCATCTACTGAATATAGTTCCCAACTGGCAATGAGTTAACATAGCAGGCCTCTCAACATAAAGTCTTCAAGAGACACCCAAAGGTTAATAGCAAGAATATATTCTGAATCTCTGCTGGAAGAGTAATCCATAGCACAGAACCAGCTGCATTAAATGCCTGAATTCTGTCCAGTTAAATGATTCTGTAACAAGGAGAATAACTAACTGTACTCTTCTGGATGCTCTCAGTGGTCAAGCTGGGATATAATGGCTCAGGCAATTCTTTTCTGGACCCAAGTTGCTCAGGGCTTTGTATATTGATGCAAGAACCTTGAACTTAACCTGGTAATGTATGGGCAGTTGGTGCAGATGTTTTCGCAAATTTGTCACATGCTGTCAGCTGCCTGTCACCATCAGCTGTATTCTGCACCTTACAAACTAGTTTCTTATCACCAGAATGGTTGTATATCTTTTTAGGTTTCCCAGAGAGACCACATTGACCTCACAAGTGGGGCTAGCATCACAGCTGAGGGTCTAGACAGAAGCCTGGTATCGTTTCTGAGTAGAGGTTTGCCTTCAAATGCTGCCTTACAATAGCCCTGCATTGTGATATTTCTTTTCAACCTGTGGAAGAGGCTTGGGAGGTGCAGAAAAGTCCTTAGAGCCATAAAAGAGTTCCTTATCACAAATCTTATCAGGATGCTTCCTGTTCATGTTAGGATTAGCTGTTTCTCAGTTTTGACAGTGTATTTGACCTTGGGCTCTGAGCCAGTTTAGCTCAGATTACGGTGGTGTTTGCTCAGTTCCTTTTCTTTGAGGATATGATTCAACTTTCATTGCATTGAATAGGAAAACCTCCATTGGCTTAGGCAGGGACAGCAATCCCACATCCCACTCCAACCTGTGATTTGCTCATATGCATAACAGGTGCACTGAAGACCAAAGAAAGGCAACATCCCCATGTAAAACCAGGGGGAGGCTGAACCCCTATTAATCTCTCTTGCAAACAATAGTAAAGAGGAAATGGTTCAACATGGACCGCAAGGGACTGAAGGCGGATGAGGAATTCTGTGTCTTTGTTATCTCATCATTGTTCTCCCTCTGGGAACTACTGAATCATTGACTTATGTAACAAATTATTGGCTACTTAACCTTTACAGTTGGAGTTGCCATTATTATCAGTGCTGTTGGATTATTCCAGGGGCTACCTTTGGGTGGGAGCAGGCGAAGGAGGATCGCTCGTGAGTCAATTTGCCCAGGATCGTATTCTAAACATGCGCACAGCGATTGCACTGTGCCTTGCTGACCCAGGCAGCTATGAATAGAAATGGTGTGTGTGTGTAGGTAGGTAGGTAGGTAGGTAGGTAGGTAGGATGGGACTCTTCTTCAACAAGAAGTTGGAGTACCATCCCATGCAACTGCCTATTGCCTATTCCTTGTCACCAGTCCTGAAGAACAAGGTATTCATATTAATTAGAAGAGGTTCATTGCCTCAGAATGAATACTGTGGGCAGAGGTGGGACTAAACAAACACAATTGTATTGTACTGTCTTCTCATCTGCTCCCAAAATTTTGTTACAGATTTTTGGGGAAGTGGGAAATATAACAAGAGAGCCATATCCAGTGTTGTCATACTTTCTCTCCTTCCCCTCCCATCTTATTCTGACACACAGTTCGAATGGCAGTTTGCGTCATGCACAAGTGCTTTGCATAAGCAGAAACACCATGTACTGTATCTGTAACATCTGGACTTTGCTCTTTAAAACAGTTTCTGAAGTTTGTTCCAAGTACCAGAACTGCACTACTAGAGAATGTTAAGATGCAAAAGCAAACACTGAAAATTGGTGAGGCATTCTGAAAGAGGCCAAATACGGCATTGTTACTGGTTGGCTGGTAAAGTATTCTGAGTCAATCAGTCTTAATTTCATAACTGCTACTGTGGCTCCCACACCCCACCCTCAACATTCATACCTCCCTCCCTTTTGTTGGTTGTGGCTTTTCATTTTTAAGAAGGATGATATATTACAAACTGATTTGTCTGATCAAATATATAGCTTTGACAATCAGCACTGTGTGAAGTCAGTAGTCTAATCTTATCTGGCGACATCTACTCAGCCTTCCCTCTTTTAGATTAAATGGTTCAGTTGATCTAATATAATAATATATAATCTGTCATTCCAAAAATATTTAAATTCATCTTCCTCTCGAGTGGATTTATTTATTTGAAATACATACTAGAAGCGTTCTGTTGGGAAGAATCTGAAGTACAATTGTTGGGAGCAAAACCATCTATATGAATATGGATCTGCTAAATTCTTTATTTTTGCACTGTTCGGAGTATTCCTGCTTAAGTTTCTGCCATAATGTAGACTGGAAAGAGCTTGTTTAATAATGCTAATAAAAAAATTCCAATACGCTATTGTCTGAAGTATCTAGAGTGAGCAGTTCCACTTAGGTTAATCCATGAGATGCGCTTCTCTCTCATGAGACTGTCTTCTCTCTTGGAAGACTTAAGGACACATCACTCACCAGCTGCAACAGCTGGAAGAGACTAAATACTAATGTGGATTCTAGCAAGTCATCACCTTTCTAGCTGACAGCGATAAGGCCCTATAAGCGTTGTATTTCAGAACAAAATTATTCAGACATATGAGAAGGTTTGTCTGGATAATTGTTGCTGTACTGGTGCCAAAGAACAGAAAATGAAATAGACATATTCATAACAGGGCTTGTATGTGTGCATGCATGTGTATGTGTGCTACACAGAAGTTAATGTTTTAGGACCCCTTCACACTGGTTGTGTTCACACCAGCAGTGTCTGCTTTTCCCATTAAGGAAGCCTAGGCACTCCTATAACAAATATTCCTGTAGCTGAGCGATTTCCTCATGTAAGCATGACTGGTGTTAGTGCCCTCTCCACATCTGCTTCAGGCAGAAAGAATAGTTGCATCCTCTCAAGGAAGTCCAAGTAACTTTGCCCAATATGATATTCTTACCTGGGAGAAAGTGGGGAATGCCTTCTTTTACATAAAGCATAATAAGGCAACCCTCAAGAAGTGCCTGTTACAGCCCAGCAAGATGAGAAGCAGATGATATGGTCTGAGATGGCCCTGGTGGTCATGTTCTGGAGCAGGGAGATGAAGTGATTTGTTTAGGAGCTTCTCCCAAGGGCAGCATCTTGGCTACCATTTGTGGACTCATTACTCAGACTTGGTAATCATATAAGGCTTTATTCCAGATTTCACTACAGTGTCCAAATATATATCAGGTTACACAGTTCAGAAGTCATAGCAGAGCTCTAAGGTACATGGCTAGGCTAAGACATGGTCCAACACCTGGCATGCCCCCCAGGTTGACCTTTGGAAGAGTGGGGCGGGCACGTCCATTCATGTAGTCATTTCCCTAAGCTTTGGGATCAGGCAAGCAAGTGGGCACTCCTACAGGTAGGCGGTCTGCTGGGTCTGCTAGCTGTGGCTGCTTCTTGGGTGATGTGGGTGGGCTTACACACCAGCTTACTGTCATTCTACACTCAGGGCCTTTCCCAGGAGCAGGAAACACTTCACTGACAGGTGGCAGTGGCCGAGGCAAGTCAGGTTGCTCCTCTACTGTGGCAGCCAGGGGATCCACTGTCAAAGAGGTAGGCCTCTCCCCTGACAGCCTACTTGCCCCTTCCTCAGCATCTAGATCACTAGGCCACAAGGCCCCTCCCCTTTCTTCCTCCTCCCGCTTGGACCAGCCCTGCCAAGATGTCTCCATGGGGCTCATGACAGACAAATTGATCAGACTAAAGAACCAAGCACAGAGCTGCAGTAAAAAAAAACCCTCAGCCAGACCCTATTGGTTCTCAACTCACTTGATCTAGTTAAGCTGATGAGCTGCCTTCTGTGGGCATTACATGGATGGGTCTGCAGCACCGCAGACGTCAGGGCAGTCGTTCTCTCAGCCTGAGAATTGTCCCAGTGGCGCAGGGGGTAAAAGTGTCCTGGGCTTTGCTGCCAGAATCCCTGGCTCAAGTGTACTGGTGCGTTAAAGCATCTCGCCCTTTGTTTGCTTTTGTTCATGTGAATTCAGCTGGAGGCAGAACATTTTTCATTCATTGTTAATAAATACCTAGTGCCCAGGGATGGGTGTATTACACATGAATTCCCCATCTGATAATGCAGAGGTCCCCCAGCACTATAAATGTTTTCCCTCCCCACATTATATTTCTGGTTCTTACTGCACCTTTTGATTGAAAACATACACAATATTTTATCCTTTTTTTTTCTTAGTTTCTGCCAAACCTTTCCATTTTGTGGTATTTGAGTTGAAGATTTTTGTGAATCAAATCTACCAAATGAAACACACTGATTAGCGAGCTGGTGGGTTTAAATTTGACTTGGTTTGTTCCTGTTTATTTTAGCTATCTTTTTATTATTGTTTTAGCTATTATCTTGCTGCTGAAAACTTTTTAAATGGCACAAAAAGTGATTATTGGCTTTGGTGGCTGACATTAGCTGCATAATTCATTGTCATAATAATCAAAGGTTTTTTAAAAGAATGTTTCAAGGTCTTACTACTGTGATAATATTATATAAAACATTTAAGAAATGGCTAGCAATATTTCCAAAGAGAGGGATCTCAGTAGGATTTCCATGAGTTAGGGGGTTAAGTCCTCAAGTGACAGTAACTCAAAGAATATGAATCCATTGCTTGACTCTTCTTGCATAGACTCACCAGCACCAGAGCTCTCACCTGGAGCTCAGGAGGTATCTCTGCCTTTCGACTAAAAAACTTGGCCTTGATGTCCTCTGAGAATCAGGCCTCAGTATTTAGACTCAAGACCAGAGTTTCCCAAACTTGAGTCTCCAGCTGTTTTTGAACTACAATTCCCATCATCACTGACCACTGGTCCTGCTAGCTAGGCATGATGGAGGTTGTAGTCCAACAACAGGTAGAGGCCCAAGTTTGAGAAACCCTGTTCTAGACTAAAGCCTTGGCAGTTACTGCAGGCTAGTGCTGCAGCAACTTTTTCTTTCTGCCTCAACTGCAGGATTTCTGCTCATGTTCTTACACTTTAGCCACTGAACTCTGAACCAGCAGCTCTAACACTGTCTGGGGTCTGGAATTTGCAGCACCATCAAACTGGCTGTGGAACCATAGTTCTGCATCTCTATCTCCCTGTCTCTTGGGCCATCGCCTCCTTCCAGAGGTTTATGATGGATCAAGAAATAAGGCTTTGGTTGCCATGACTAGAAGAAGCAAAATAAGTTATAAGTAAGCCCAGATATGGATGGACCTGAAGAACTGCACAATTTATTCTAGCTGTAGAATCCAATTTTATTTGGGTTTTGAGTTTGGAACAGATTTGTTTAGTTTTTAAAAACTCAAAGTTTTGTGGGAAACACTTCATTTAAACACTTTATACTGGGGAGGGTGGATGATGGAAACATTTTAATTCCTGCTACAATGGATACCTGCCCTTTGGAAGGTCTGTAAATTTTAATGTGGTTCTACTTTGTGTCAGTGTATCTGGTTCAAATTTAACAAAGGTGGATCAAATTACAGATATTTCAATTCCCCCCTCAAACTTTTATGGAGGACAGCACCCACTTAAAAAGAAAAATAGGCCTTCACTATTTATTGTGGATGCTTTTTATTTGATGGATCTGCAGGTCTAAGGGAGCTGCGTCCTAAGGATCAAAGAATGGGACTGGCAAGAGGAAACTGAACCATTTGCTGTCATCAACATGTGTCTATTCTGGTTGGCAAACTTTTTAGTATGTTTTTTCACTGGAACTGAATGTATGGTATCCTATTAAGGACAAAATGATAACCAGTATGAAAATAGGAACTGCAGTTATTTAAGACTTGTATATTTGAAATGTTGCACCAGTATTGATAGCAGTTCTCAAAAAATAAGGAACTGTAACTTTTTAATGGAAGTGAATGAAGAGCAGGAGGGAAAATGTATGCGTCATCCCAGTTGTGTAAATGGTTGCACTGCAGGGCACTGAAGGGTTAATGCAGGAGAGGGCTGGAGTACACCCTGACCAGAATCCTGCCACACTTTAAATGATTCACATTTCGGTAAGAAGAGAAAGTTGTAACTCTTTGGGCTGGACAATAGCAGGTATAGTATGATTAGCTGCCAAGTATTCATAAGGACATGGATAGGATTTTTAATATATTCATGCATTTGATCATTTAAAATGTGCATATGCCCTTGTATGGATTCTATTTTTTGATGTTGATTGGTTCTGGCAAAAAAATAATGGTTGACAAAGCTCAGATTGATAAATTTGTCACCTCCCAATATTCCCTCATCTGTGGCAGCTATTGAAACTATAGATCCATTGTGTGCCTGCACAAATTCTGGCTCTCGTTTACTTTTAGCTTGGTACTGGCAGGTTAATATAAACACTTTGGTGAGTGGAATTGATTAGATTGGCAAATGCAAAGGCACGTTCAAATACCATGTTGCACACACTGCAAAATTCAATTTGCTTTATATTCTGTCCAAAGTTCAGCCAAAGTTTTATATCACAAAAGGCAGAGATCTCTGTTTGGGCTGTATGGAGGGACATGAGGAGGAGACAAGTATATAGTTATACTGCTTAGGTGGCCTCTTCGGATGTGATTAGCAGCCTTGTCACTATGTAGAGGAGTGGGGATGTGCTGTGTATACATTTATACATTTATACATTTATCCTCATGAAGACTTCCAAAGAATCTGGAACGCTAAACAGTCAGGAGCTCCAGATTCTATGGAAGTATTTATGTATTCCACTGTACGATTGGATACAGGAACTCAGGATAGCTCAGCGACAGAGCATGAGAATCTTAATCTCAAGGTCTGTGGGTTCAAGCCCCATTGCAGGAGGTTGCAGACACCTGCAGTATACATGTGGGTATTGGAGGAAGGGTTGAGTGGCTCAATCATCCAACCAGTTGGGGATGGATGATTGCATGTTGCTCCCGTGCATAGGTAATCATGCTTGATGGGAACTTTGGGCATCTAGAAGTCTTGTGCCGAGTATAAAGGAAAACACAAAATAAGTTATCAAGGTTTGGAATAATATGAGAATCATAAGCCGTTCCTTCAGAATGCCAAAAAAACCACCCCAACCTGCATTCAAAAGGCAGAGATTAATTTATCTTGCTGGTTTTTTAAAAAGCCGTCAAATATTAAGTGAAAGTTTAGAGATATATATGTGTGTGTATATAGTGCTGGATTGAGTGAAAACTGATCACTGCTCTCATTGCTTGTTTTCACTGGTGCTACTTGGAACCCTCCAGGCAGCGGTAAAACTGGCAGAAATTAGGTCAGTTTTAAGTATGCTGTTGCTTGGGAAAGCAGCTGCACAGAAAGAGCACTGGAGTTCTTCATTGTGCAGAGGCACCCACAGGGAAAAGCAGGGGGATGGGGACACTAGGATCCCCAACATCGCAGCAGCCACAAGGGTGGGGTAGGCAGACGGAACAAAGGAAGCAAGTGCCCTTCAGAGCTTGCCGTGAGCTAGGAGGCTGGGCCTTGTAGCTGAAGGGAGGTCTCCCGACTTGATAACCCCATACAAACATATGAGGGTTCTTTCTTTCTGCAGGGGGAGGGGGAAAAGGGAGGCTGTGGCTGGCTTATCAGTGGACATTCTTCTCAAAGTTCTCACAGGCCTCATAGATGGGGAAGGAGTGGAAAGAAAGAAACCCTTTCTGTTAGACTGGGGGAATACAAAAAAACACCTTGCAGAAGAGAATCAGTAGCTATTCAAAAGCATCAGAGGCTTGGGGTGTCAGGCACAGCGGCGTGCAGATGGATGTAAGCAGATGGAAGCGCCGTCGATGTGTTGGTTGCAGTAGTCATCGTGAGGGAAGCAAATGGATTTGCTTTGTTCAGTGCAGTTAGTGTGAGAACAGGCACTATATACCTCTTCAAGAGGTGCGCTTGGAGAGGATGGGAGGTGAAGGTCAGGAAATGGCCAGCACACTCGTAATTTGGTGTTCTCTGGCATCCCTAATTAGCAAATGGCTGAGGCGACTGTGCCAACGTGTGCACCCAGAAAGAAGCCAAACAAGCCATCTTCAACTGGCAGCATTCAGTTAATTATGTGGCGGTTTTGTTTGGGTTTATTTATTAACAGCTTCTTGTCTTTGGCCTATGTCTGGGTTTACGATGTGGTGGCTCTAAGTGAGTTTTTCTGCCCAGCCCGTCCCACCAGCTGCCAGCCTGAAATGAGGTTACATCCGAGTCGCTGCCCCCCAAAAGGATGACAAGACGAGTGGTGTGTGTAACAGAATGGTACAATGCTAGCCCTCCATTGATCCTGCCAGCATGGGTCTGGATTTGGGCCAGAGCTGCATGCGAAGAAACAAGCACTGCCATTGTCTGTTTACTGGCTGAGAGAAAAGAAGAAGAGAAAGCAACCTGTAAAAAAAATGGGTCCTGCTGCCAGCAGGAGTCCTACCAGCTCCCATTTGCCTATTGGTATTTGCTGTGGGCTTTTAGGAAGACACATTTGGTGGGAACCAAGTCATGGAGAAAGCCAGCTTCAAGAAGCTAGTGCAGGAAGAATAGCCCTCTGGGAGGCTTGTTCAACCTTAACAGTGTACATGGGGTTATGTGAAGGCACCCCTCATCTCAAAAGCTCTTTGCATGCAGAAGGCTAACACCACATTTTTATACCCCCTCCCAATTTTAAGTGTTTTCAGTGTTGTCTTTAATAGAGTTACTTATTTAACTGCTTTAAACAAATATTTATATTGATTCTGTGTGTTTTAGCTGTATTGGTTTTAATTCATGCTTGGCCCCTTGTACTGGGAGAAAGGAGGGATATAAATAAAATGAACAAATCAATAACAGGTTAATGAATATCAGGGAGAAGACTGAACTTATACATCTTCCAGCATGCCAACTTTTCCATGTGTAGACCATTCCTCCTCTGAGTTCTGAGTTGATAAAATAGGCTATTACCTCAGGTGAATTATGAGGTGATAAAGCAGACCATTCCCTCAGGTAAGTTGTGAAGTGAAGTAACTCCTGAAGAGTGGACTTTTGGGGGGGAAATAAGTTGGCTGATAAATTAGGGAAAGCATTTTAAGATATAAAAAATTAATTCATTCGATAGTTCAATTAAACATTGGAATACTAATAAGGGAATGGTGTCTGCGAAGAATGGGAAACAACCTCCTAGCTTGATGGATCTCTTTACCATGCACAAAACAGGTTTGTTTTTTCCACTGAGTGAGTAGCCACTAATGTTCCAAGATACCTTTGGAGTCCAAGGTCAGCATTGCCTCATGATGACTCAGTTGAAAAAGGCTAAGGTACGGTAATGGAAATCAGTTCTTTCAAGTTTGTTCATAGCACTTTTAATTTGGCAAACATATTTGGGTTTCGCATACAAAGGCTACACAATCTTAAGCCATAGCTGGTTATGTATAATTATTGGCACAGGCTGTGGGAGCTATTTCATTTCTTGAGTGTTATAAAGAAGGTAAAAGATAAAGGTCACTCCATCTGGGAAATTACTAGGGTGAATTAAAGGACATAAAGTTTGCTGGGAATGAGAAGAACATTCAAGAGTGTTTTAAAAAGGTGTTACATGTTCCTATGTTCTATATTCTGCCCAGAAGGACTAATAGAGTGTGTACATACTTCATACTGGCATGTCAACATAATAAAATTAAAAGGAAATGGTTTGTTTGTTTTTTAAGCCAAGATGTTTAGTGAGGTTTCTTTTTCTTTTTTATAGACAGGTTTCAGAAACAGGAGTATTTTTATCTGGGCCAGTAGTTTTTATGGCTCGATGATTGAGATGACGAGTGTTAGGCGTGGCTGAGAAATTAGACTGAAGATTATCTGTAACATACTTCATGCATGTATACTGTATATCAAAACTTTCAAATCTCTGGAAAACACAGAAAAGAAAATTATCTCTATGTTCCTGGCCATATGTCTCTCTCTAATATGCATATTTAAATGCAACAAGGTTTTGTCTCCTGATCTGGTTGGCTTGAGATTCACCTAATTTACTACACAGTTCAGAAAACAGTTTGAAAAACACTTGTCCCAAGAGATGTTATTAGCCTCTGCAGATAAATAAGTCTCTGCAGGTTGAGAAATGGGCCTCCCAAATGGTTGTTCAAATCAGCCCTCTATTCACATCCATTCAAATGAACTCTTGACATTTTATAATTTGTAAATAATTCAAAATCATTCATGGTTCAATGCTTTTTAACATAAACCAAAATCAAATGAAAGTAATTTTCTTAAGATTGCCAAAATATCCCATAATAGCAAGTCGGTCTGTAGCTAAATGGCTACTAATGAGCTGTAGCTGTGGCAGTAACAAATATAGACAGAAAATCCATACAGATAATTAAGAAATTATCCATGTGGGAAAAAGCTCGACTATCTGCCATCTCTGCTGTGAAAGCCAAAACATGTTACTGCTGCTTCCTCCTCATAGCTCTATCCCTTGCCCCGGTGCCAACTACTTAACAGCAACATTGAACTTGGACTTGCTTTGAAAATGGTGCTCTGTTATGGTACAGAGTGCAGTATTTGAAAAACTAGTGTGAAATGCTGCTCCAGGGACAAGGTGTGGTGGCTATCAACTAAAGTATTTTTAGCATCTCTGCCAGTGTTATTCAATGTGGTGTTAGATTAAAACTCCCATCAGCCTTGGTTATTGGTCATGCTTGCTGGGGCTCATAAGTGCTGTGGTCCAAAACATTTGGAATGCACCAGATTGGTGTTACCTTGGTGTTTCCCCTATAACTACCACTTTTGCTTGATTATTTGCAACCCACCAGTCTTAATACACAAAGCTGCGTAGATAACGTACAAGGAATGGGAGACATGGGGAAATTGGAGGGATTACACAGTGCTGGTTGCGCTGCCTCTGAATGATCAGGTGCCCATAGTCACAGAAGCATTCCATTACCTCCTGGAAGTTGTCACTGAAGTGCAGAGCTCATATTGTGAAATTAAAATATGCTGGGGTTCCAACCTTTGTGCCAGTAACTCAGTTGCTTCAACTGCTAATCCTGCATAGTTTGGGTCACTGTAGTTATTCAGCAAGAACTGGGAATGACTAATCTTTTAGCTTAAAGTCTAAGAAAAAACCCACATTATGACTACACTAATCTATTGCTCTTTTAGGTACCTCACGACCCTTGTTGTTTTTGCTGCAATGTGTTAACATGGCTAACACTGTGGAATCACGGGTAAAATTTGTGGTCTGAAAGAATCTGTCTCTTTCCAGTTCGTGTCCCTTTTGCCTGTGTTCACTCATAAATTGGTCCTGTTTCCACATTGATCTGCAATTAAATAAAAACACTAAAAAATCTGCCCAAGAATTCACTGCTAGAAACATGTTCAGATGTGTAACCTTAAAATATTTTCCCTCAAAATGTTATCTCAAAAACATTGTTTTTCAAAGTATGCATTTTTAAAATGTATGTTGATGCATTTTTGAGCCAAGAACTAAATCAGGAGATTCAGGAAGTGCAAAAGTCAGAAAAATAAGCAAACTGTGACCCCCAGATTAGTCCAGGACATGCAAATCAGGTCAGATCATATTGGAATTTCAAATTCTGCAAGCGTGGAGACCTTCTCCTCCCTTGTCCCCCTCCCCGCATTAGGGGAGATGAGGGAGACTTAAGTATCCCTCTCCTATTTTCTTTGAAAATTGCCCCTTCACAAAGCTTTTATTTACAGCATGGAGCCACCTCTGGGATTTAAATACACATGTTTCTATGTGTGAAACAGGAAGCTCTGACAGAGCAGCTGGCTCAGCTGTAATAGTTGCAATGTGGCCAATGAAACACACTGGAGTTGGGCTCACTTTCATACCTATTTGTGTTACATTCAGTACATTTCCCTTTAAGACAGTGTTCTGATAGTGGCAACCTGGGCAAATGCACTCATCAAGCTGGGATGAGCTCTGTCATCCCAGGATTTTGTCTGTACTTTGTCCTTCCTCATTTTTAGTCACCAGGAAATCATCCTCACATTGTAAATCTGGGGCTGGCTTGTTGACACATTGAAAGATTCTGTGTCTTGAGGCTCCAGTCACCATGTTGGCTAAATGGATTACCCTCCATCATCACAGGGATGCATTATTCATTAGAGGGAGAAGTCCTCAAAACTGCTTTATGATTAATGGGCTGTAATAGAAAGAGTTCCTCCAGATGTCACAGAGACTTCGCAAATCTGTCTTAATCTCTGCAACACACAGGCACATACACACACTTCTCCCCGCTGTCTCCATAAGCAAACCACCTAAGGGTTGAGTACATTTGACCTAATTCTCCTTTTGCCTATGCTATGTCTATATCAACCCCTTTCCATTGGCATCACTGGCCAGGAGCCTGATCTAGGGTGACCTAAATGTCTCGAGAATTAAGTTCTCAGGCGTGGAGATATCAACAAATTCTAGAGACATCAACACAGAGTGGCACATTGAATAAAAACAGAATGAAAGAATAACCAAGATGAAAATGGAACGTATTTCTTCCAAACCCTCTAAGGAATTGCCAATTTAGTTATAGGTTTGGTATTCTCACTGACTTTTCACAGGCTGGCTTTTCAACATTATGAGCTGCTGGTAGTAGATTCTTTCTAACAATGCCCAAGATAGGCTTGGTAGTAGCTTCATTTGTTTTGAAATGTGTCAGGCTTTTTTAAAATAAAAGTTATTTAAGCCTATCGTTTGTATTTTAAGATGTATAAGTGAAATATAAACAATGTGTTCTCCCTGATCGCTGCAGCACTCAAAAGAAGGGCATATGATATATGTGTTGTACTGACTTAAATACTGGATGGGATTCACCTAACAGACACTGTCAGCAGAAGCCCGGTGTAACTGGGCTTTCTCCCCTCTCTTCCCCCTGTACCCCCCAAAAATTGGCTATTGGGGTCAGAAAAATGCCCAGAACAGTGGGTGTGGGGAGATCATTCCATCTGGCATCAGGGCCGTCTTTACCTGGGGGTGCAAGGGGTGTGGTGCACCTGGGCACCGCACTCTGGGGGGGGCGCCAAATGCACACTGGACCCTCTCAATTGGCAGCAGTGAAAAGCAATGGGGCTGAAGTCCCCGCCCCCTCATCCGTCGCTCTGTTACTCTGTAGTGTCGAACAAAAACAGGTTTTATTGCTGCGTCGTTGTTACAGGTTGAGTTTGCCCCCTAAAAAAGTCAACAACTTCAGCTTCCCCCCTCCCCAAAAAAGCCCTCCCCCCAAAGGGGCGCTGGGCAGATATTTGCACCCCGGCGGCGCATATGCTAAAGATGGCCCTGTCTGGCAAGCTGATATGCTTGCACAGATGGAATATTTGTAATAGCACAACATTGCATTCCACCCCAAGTTCAGCTACAAATCGCACTTTGTAGCTTGGTAAGATCACATTCTCAGCCGTGACTGTTTCATGGGGTAGCTATGAGGCTGCAGTGCTATTCTTCTGTGCTGTTTTGAAGACGGATGTAATACAAATGCATATATAACAGGAATGGGGAATGACTTTGAGTCTGAGGGCCACTTTCCTTGATGGGCATCCTTTCAGGAGCCACAAGCTACTGCTGGATGGGGCCAGAGGCAGAAGTGGGGAGATCAAACAATGTAAATTTTGCCTTTGTACACGCACCCCTCTTTGTCTTCCATCCAGAAAAGGAAGAGGCATGATCACAGTTCGCGGTCACATTTTAGCGTGTGAAACAGGGCCAGTAGGAGGTATGGCTGGGGAGGGAGTTTGTTCTGGACAGAGGGCCGGGTAGAAAGGCTTTGAGAGTCACATTTGGGCTGGAGATTCCCCACCTCTAATGTATAACACAAAACAGACCAAAGCCTACAAAATTACAGTCTTTGAACCTTCGGTCTTGCATACTACACAGCTTAGAATTGCATTTGATGACAATAATAATAAAATGGTAACAAGCACCTTGGTGCTGCCGTCCTCTGCATATGTGTGATAAGTGCATAAGTGGGACTTATCTCTGAGTAAACATCCATAGGTTCAGTCTTTACAGTGCTAAATAAACATTAATTGGTTTCTCCACAGGACTCCTCCGTTGCAAGTGAAATAGTGTTAATATAACTATGCCATTTAGAAGATAGCCTGGTTTTAAAATCCACTTTAGCCACATAGAAATCTATAATGTCTGGCCTTCGGAGAGGAGGTATTCCATTTAGACAGAAAGCTAGTCATTTCTAGCCTGAAACTTAAGAGTGCTTTCTGCCTTGCGGTTCCATTTCCCAAGAAGTATAGTAAACAAAGTCTCCATTGAAGTGTGTCACCCTCCCAATTTCTACTCTTGCCATTTCCCTCTCATTTCATGCTGCCTTCGTGACAGAAATCTCATATTGTTTCAGATTTAGCTTATTTATGTTCCCTTTTACTCAGCCATGTGCTAGACAAGTTGCCAGCTTCTTCTGAAACCACAAGAAGGATTCAGAGCAGCTGTGTGTTTTCTTTGGAAAAGGGGATGGGGATGAGAGAGGATTGAGGGGAAGAGAAGCTGGGATAGGGGTATGCCAACATCCTCCAGCTGTTCCAACAACTCTATAGCTCCCACCAGCCCCAGCCAGCATGACCAGAGGTCAGGACTGTTGGGAGTTTTAGTCTGACACCATCTGGAGGGCACCATATTGGTAACCCTGTGAAAGTAAAGTGGCACCAATCAAGACTGCCATATTCTGCGCTGCTTTATTGTTTTTCAATTGTTCTATTGCGGAATGGTCTGGTAATGTGATGGATATGCCATTTTGCATGGCATACAAAGGCAAGAGGTAAATTGGGATGGGGTTGAATATAAATGCATGATTTCACTTTTAGGTTTTTCACAGTTGAGAATGAACAATGAGTGTAATCTCTTAAATATATAAAACTTGAATTATCTTTCACAAAACATCTTCTTTGTGTAAAATACTATAATAAGATAGTTTTACATACACGAGTGCACACGCACCCCAAGCATGGTGCTGTATTGGTGTCACTGGAGAATATGATATTCCCTATGTTGACTGGCCTCCCCTCATCTCTCTCCATCCAAGAACTGATCTGACAGGTTTTGTATGAATCAATGACAGTGTGAAAACCCTTTTCTTTAATTAGAAAACAGTTTGGCAAAGTTGCAAAATGAAACATTAAAAAATCATGAAGACCCACAGCTGCTGCTTCCCCCTTTCCCAAATTGTAAGATTAAAAAATGTTGAGTTCTGCTTATTTATCTGGTTTTCGATCCTTCAGGCTACAGCTGGCCCATGTAGATTACAATGTGGCTAAAGTGGATTTGAAAACTAGGTTAACTTCTTAGTAACATGATTATATTAATACTACTTGACTTGAATCATACGGGAGCATTGTAGAAAACAGTTAAAGTTTATACGGCCCTGCAAAAAAAATTAAGGTTGCTGTTTACTTGTCAGGGAACTGCCATCAGTGCTGGAGGGAGAGAGCAAGCTCCAGAGGGATTCCAGAGAGCGTCCCGGGATTGGGAGAGGCAGCCCATCTTCTGGGGAAGAGAATCAGCGTAGCACCAGTGGAGAAGGGGGGCAGATGGGGGAATCGGCGAGGCGGTCCCATGACTCCTTGCCGGGGACCAGCGGGGAGAGTAAGGGTCCTCCGCTGCCTACGCCCTCCTTGCGCAGAAGGCTTTCGCGCAGAGAGAGTAGGAGGAGACTAGGCGTCAAAGAGCTTCTTTGCTGGAAGAAGTGTAAGAAACGCCCACTGACGGATTCTGCCAGCGATTGAGACAGCCATGGGTGAGTGGCTGTCCAGACAGAAAAGGTTCACTCAGGCAACCCAGCCAGGTGTTTGCACCGGCTTACGCACGAGCAACCCTTAGAACCATTTCATTACTGTTCATTATTATTGTCATTATCATTATTCAAAGTATAATTTATAGTTACTTGTTCTATGAGAATGTAAAAAAATCCCAAAGAACAAACTGTTCTAACAGAATATTATGTTAATCATTGCAACAAAGCTGCTCTGAAAGAAAGGAAGTATGTGTTGTGCAGAGCTATAAATTGGGATTCCTAATACTGAATATGTATGTGTTACCAATAACTTTGGTCAAGAAGATTTTTAAAGTAATTTTTAAATTTAATCCTAAGTGGCTGTGCAAGGGGGTCTTAAACTTGGCCTCCGAAAGCTAGACCAAGGCATATAATTCTTTCCACCGTCATGGTAGTTTGTCCAAGGAGCTAGCGGCTAGCTGCCTCTCTATTGCATTTTGGCACTGCGAATATGGAGAGAGGAACTGGAATTACCAGATCTACATGGGCCAAACAACATGAGGAACCAACAGAGGCCTGCATGGTTCAAAAATCCTCTTGGGTTCTTACTGAAAGCAACATGCTGCTTAGGTGAAGACCAAGCTAATCTCAGGCCTCATTCAGACATGGTCTCCTACTCCAACAAACACTGGTTTGTTGAAGCCCTAGTGAATAATGACCACCCCTGCCTCTCATGGACCCAGTCTGAAAAGAGGCTACTTGGTTAGTTTAAAACTCGTTTACAGCTGTGATTTCTAGTTATGGCTTGAAGGCAGTGCTTAAGCTATAATTTCCTAGTTCAGATGTTATGGGAAACTTGCAGTTTAACAAACAAGGAGGTTTTCTCTCAATCTGGGCGCATGAGAGGAAGACAGGTAGTCCGAGACCAGTTTAATGTTGTTGCTTCAACAGACTGTGGAGGAGAAAGCAGTTGAAATTATCACTTCTCCATGCTATAACTAGCCTGGGTTTGTTAGAATGACAGCGTTACAGGCCTGACTTGACTGCCTACATACCAAATTAGCAAGGTTGCGGTTTCCCTGGCCAGTGCCTGTGTCTCCTTCAGACCTTTGGTTCTGAAAGCGTGTTTATAATTCTTTGTGGCATTGACTAAATGAGCCGTTGAAATGATTTTGTGACCAATGGATGTTGGTATTTGAAAAGAGAACAGTCAACTTTGGCCCTCTTTAGTACACTTTAACATTGTTAAGGAATGAGCGCTGCACCCATGGAAACTTTTGTGTCTTGGAATGGAAAGCTGTACTTTTATTATGCATCTTTTATGGGAGTTTCAGACAGAAAGGTGGAAGCACAAAGGAAAACTATCAAACTACTCACTTTTCAACAGATCTTTAAATTAGATTCCAAGATTTAGAACGTATGCTGTGCTATAAATGCTACATGTGCCGTAAGACTGTTAATTTTCTTGTGAGAACTTATTAGAGTCAAGAGTCATTACATCATTCTGTTTTGAAAACCTCAAAGTGCCTAATTCAAGAAAATTAAAAGATTCCTATGTGGAATTAGAAGATTGCTCATTATTTTTGGTCTAGGCTTCTTCCTTCCCATTTTTACAGTAATAATTAAAGTTATTATTTCTGAGCTACGAGGAAGTGAAACCGGTACTGTATCCTTATCCCAGGAGCAACTCTTCTTCATGGCTCTAACCAGCCTGAACCAAGTGCCTTGTAG